TGAAAAGGACCATTTTTGCTTCCATATTGAATAACTCGGTGAAAAAAAATCGCACAATGCTGATCGAGCACGCAAATTAAAGGTAAAGATTCACCCTTTCGAACGCTGCAAGTTGCTTTGGATGCAATTTTTATTGCACTCCATGGAACTTCGCAAACTTAGTATAAAATTTTTAGATTTGATGCATCTCTATTTGGGATAAACTTCCGAAAACGACCCACCTCCGATTTCAATGAAACTTTGTTAAAAGCTTTAATTTGGGCTAAAATAAAAGCCCTTAAAAGGATTTTCAGCGATTCCTATGAAAAAGCCATTTTTTAAGATCAAATAATGAAAATGTAATAGATAAATATTTCAATCAGGAGATCACCTTCATTAGCCTTGACTTTGACATATACTATTAAAGTCATGGCCCTAAGTGATCTTCAAAAGGTTTTAGCCATTATTTTAAGTTATCAACAAAAAATGTTTTATAAATAAAACACAATTTTTGTCGTATATTATATCACGCCACGCGTGCAAAGTCAAAAACTTATGTGAAAAAATACTCGTACAATTATAGATCTTGGTTTGCAACAATAATTAAATATATACACATATGTTATATATCTATGAAATCTTCGCCTTAATGGATGAGTCTACAATATACTAAAAATAATAGATACCGAAAAGATTAGACAGACCCCTACGCAAAATTGTAAACCCGTCTTAGAATCTCGCTTTATTTCTATTTTTTATTGCCTCCACTCCCCTCAGACTCTCCCTCAGTTATCCTTTCATGTTTTAATCCCTAATTAATCAAATATATAATTACAATATCTATATTCATCTAGTAAATCAGTATAACAATATATAACTTTATTTAAACATTTTTTGTATTAAACTTTGTTTGCGCAGAAAATTCATTTAAGGATATTCATTTGACATCATTCCGAGTATTTCTGCCAAAAATCATAACAATTAAGCGTGGGTCGTTTTCGAAAGTTCAGCCCAAATTTTTAGAGGAAATGAAACTCCATGGGGTAATCGAGGAGTCTAATAGCCCGTGGGTCTCTCCAACGGTCATGGTTAAAAAGAAAGATGGCACCATTCGATTTTGTGTAGATTATCGGAAATTAAATGCGGTGACAAAAAAAGATTCTTATCCTCTCCCTAGAATAGATGATATTCTGAATCTGTTGTCGGGAAATACTTGGTTTACTACCATAGATTTGAAAAGTGGCTACTGGCAAGT